ACTTAGTTTTCTTTACTTACATTACTTATGGTCTCTGACAAAAACATTTACTTCATTATTCCTCTTACCTAAACTCTCATTAGTATCTGATTTCCCCTTTCCTGAAACTTTCTTCACTTGACTGACTTGATACAACACTTTTAAAGTTCTTCCTGTCTTCTCAGTGGTTTGGGCCAAAGCATCATCTACCATTAGACCTTGGCAGTTTGGGGTAGACTGCCTTTCATTGACAGTCTTTGTCCTCGGCTCTCTTACTACTCCCTTGGCTTCAAGTTCCATATATATGACCAGCTACCAGTTTGACATCCTGATCTCTGACTTTATTTCTGAGTCTTAAACCAGTATATCCAATTGTAAGAGTATTGTTTTCTTGAAATGGAAATTAGGGAGCTGACATTGAACCGGGATAGTGTAATTAAGGTACAGAAGCCAGAGGCAATGTGGTGGTTTTTTGGGGTATAGAGAGAATGGGATGAGGGGGAGGACTTAAGTAGGAACGTTTCAAACAACCCAATGCGAGAATTATTAAGACACCAGTTAATAGAACTAAGAACTGAAAAGTAAGGACTTGAATTTTCTCCCTGCTTTTACTTTTTTAAGCTGTTGTTTGTCTCTTTCTCCTTTTTATATTTGAAAAATTTGTTTTCTAGTTCTAGCAACTCAGTGGAAATAATTAAAGATTTGGACCTAGTTTCAAAATGTTAGACAAACTAATTGTCTCACTGGTTTGTCTGGCTGTGCTGGGATGAGATGATGTTGGAAGATAGTTGGACTGGGAATTTTAAAGAAGTGGAGGTTCTGTGAGAATATTTTAGTGCTGGGGAAAAAACTGTCCTTTCTGGATAGTAGTGTATGAATTTGCATTGGTTTGAATCTCCTCAGTGATAGGATTTTTCTCCAGAAACACATCATGGAAGTCTATTGCTTTAGTTTGGGAACTTTGCTGGATTGGTTTGGCAAAAGATTAGTAAAGAAAGGGCACTGATTTAGGAAAGTAAGGGCACTGGTTTAAAAGTTCAGATGTTCAATCACAGGGTCCATACTGAACAGAAAAAAAAGTTGAAAGGGGGACTTCCCTGGGAGATGGTTACAGGAATGAAAGGGATGGGGTGTCTCTGAATTTTAACATCAGTTGTCATGGAATATAAACATGAGAGACCAGGAGGAAGTTGTAGTCAGAAAATAAAATATTGGAGTTTTAGCTCTGTAGCCAAATAGTTCAATTGATGAAAAGTCTGTGTACATCTCTGGTAGTAAAAGCATACTTCACCAAGCTTCAAGAAAAATGTTTTGCTGTGCTAATAACCCTTAAGTTTCACTGGCCATAAATTAAATTAATAGAGCCATTAGAGTAGGAATTTTTTAAACAGTCAGTGATAAGCATGTTGTTATGTTGAAATTCCTTTTTAGATTTTGGTTGGTTGCCTCAGAGATGGTAATTAGGATCATGCCCCATTGTAGAACAAGGATTTTTTTCTCTTCCTTCTGTTAGCAAAGTTCCAGGCTTATTTTATTGTATTTGTTTCCCTTTAAGTTACACCAAAATACTTTTCAGTTGAAGTTAACCTGACATTCTTTTTAGTTTGAGTATCCTCAAGGTAGATTGCAATCATTTCATTTATCTCTCTCCTTATTCTTTTAGAGTAAGAGGGCAAGCTACAGACTTATCAAGCTGCTGAAGATTGATTCTAGAAGTTCCTAGTGCTAAACAGGCACGGGACTAAGTATTTGGCTCTAGATTAGTGGTGAATCAGAGTCACTTATAAAATCTTTGTGAATTTTGTAGGACAGTTGTTAAACACAGCCATTATTGAAAATCAAAGTACATGTCTACAATAAATTATTTGCATTAAAAATCAGATCTTTTTTGTAAATATTTTATAACATTTTACTATTACCTGTGTTCTTGAGATTCTTTCCACCTCAGATTTGTATGGCACAGATACCATCTAGCCAAGTACTACCCTGCATCTTTTTCAATTCTGAGCTGGGTTGTATCCCTTTGGTAGTATAAAACCAGCCATGGCAGGAATATTTACACCGTGACTGGCAAACAATATAAATCAAGGCCCTTTCATCCATGGGGAGCCAGTTACACGTTTACCAGCACAGCACAGGATGCAGTAGCTTCTCTGGCTTCTCACTTTATCTCCAAGACCTGAGAGAAAACTACCCAAAGTAGTTTCTGGAAGGCCCTCCCCAATCTGTCCTAGCCTTGCTTCTAAGTTGGTCTTTTCCTTCTATTGCTGTGTCTTCATTATTTCCCACTTGTTTGTCATCATGGTGGTCTTTTCTTTACCTTGTTTGCTCTTCCTTGAGATGAATCTCATTTTGACCCCTGATGATGTGTACCTCTTCTCCCTTCTCAGCACTGCTGCAGAAAGAACGAGCTAAGAAACAAGGTGGCACAGCTGATAGATCATATGACCAGAATTCCAGTCACTTTCCACGTGACTGTTTAAGCTGATCAGAATTGTTTATATATGATGAAATAATAGGTTAAATGTTTTATCAGAACATATAAATGTTCATTAATTGCATTTTCAGAGTTAGTTGAATTCTTATGTGTAATCTTTTCAACAGAACACAGTTTTATTATTTTATGATGAAAAATTTAGAATAGGAAATCAGAATCTGCCTTTCACAAATTTATAAAGATAACTTTAAAATAAAAGACTCCTTGACTATTAGAAATGCTTTTGGCTTCAAGAAATAGAAAAGTGAAGAGAAAAGTTTCCTGATTGCTGCTGGTGAGTCAGCAATTTCATGGTGATAGCCAAAAGCCTCTAAGATTGTCTTTGCCTTTCATTCTATTTTTTTCTTTTTTTTTGATGGGACTCAGGTTTGAACTCAAGGCTTTGTACTTACAAAGCAGGTGCTCTAGCATTTGAACCACACTTCCAGTTCAAGTCTTGCCCTTTCGTTGTGGGCATGTTATGGTTGCTACAGATCCTGTAGCATTGAGACAAAAGATGAACTAATAGCTATGATATGCTTCTCTGCAGAAGTTCATTAAGCTTTGTTCAGTCGTTTCAAGAAAGTGATAGAAAACTAATGTTTATTTGCTGAAAGATATTTGAGTTTGGGAATTAGGCTAGGTAGGTAGATTCACATAAACTGTTGAGGTATAATGTTATCCCTAATGGTACAGATTAGGAAACTAAGTAGCGCTCCAGATCACAAAGTCTAGGAAATGAGTGAGATAAACTTTGAACCTTGTCTTTTCTCTGTGGCAAATTTCAGACTTTTATAAACTGAAATGAATTAGGATTTTATGGAAAGAATGACATTTGAGAGTGAGGAGAGTTGAGCACACACATACAAAAGATGGTGTAATGTGTCATATCTGTGTGACAGAGGAGCCCTGTAGGTCTGCAGTAGCCAACATACTTGGATAACCACCATTTGATTCATGCATTCTACTTACTCTAATCCATTTAATTCTCGTATAAACCTTTATGAGACGTATGTTTATGTTTAGATCGAGAAACTGAATCTCAGAGAGGCTGAGTTGCACAGGCAGCCTAGTAAATGACAGATTTAGGATCATCCCAGGCCTCTTACTCTCAAGGCTGCACCTTTAACCAGTGTACACATGTCCTCTCATGGGACTCATGCAAGAGAAAATGAAAAATTTTTGAATTGATTCTTAAATATTCCCAACCAATCTTGAAAGAATTCTACTTGTTTAGTGAAATAGGAAGTTAAGTGAAACATTATCTTGAGCATGATTTTGGAAGGTAGGCTTTAAAAATCCCAAACTCAAATCTGAAGCAAAACTGATGATCTTTTAATAACCCCTTTTCAGCTCATGATAACTTATTACAGCTTCATAATTTTAAGAAATACCATAGAATATTGATCCAGAAATTGAAATAAGAATGCAGCAAATGAGTATGTGAAAATAATCCCACACAGATGGACATTATACAGCTCAGAACTTCATGATGAGTCATACTCTTGGAAGATTGTTCTGTTCTTCTCCAGAGTCTGTCAACAGAGGAGATACAACGTGATGTAGTTTTCATGTTTCAGCTTTAACATCTGCTGCATGGCAGCCCATTTATATCCCCATCTAAGGAAACATCTATAAATATTGGTAAAGATTTCCTTTTTACTTTTTCCCCCAGGGTGTTTATCTCTATATTTATTCTATTAGCTACACAGGGTATCTGGATGATCTGGAATTCAGCATTTTGCTAATACAACTTGTTAGGATTCTATCTAAAGCCATTACAGGCAGTTTTGCTATAAGGTGAATCTGTTGTGTTTTCCAAAGCCAATCTGTTGCCACTGTAGAGATTGGCCATTTTCTTCTCTCTTGACTTCCTCCCACCATGCACTGCCTGCTCTTTAGCAGCAGTGAATACTGAAATTTTAAATGAGTGATTGTTTCAGAATTTTTAAATTTTTGGTAGTATTGGGGTTTGAACTCAGGGCCTCACACTTGCTAGCTAATTAGGTGCTCTATTGTTTGAGCCACACCTCTAGCCCCAGATATTTATCTTTACTTGTGCCATTTTATTCCATGAAACCTATAGGAGAGCAAAGATAAAATTCTAAAACTATTGGAATTATGGTTTAGTGTTGATTTTTAAAAATTTATTAAAAAAATAACAGTGGCAACAGAGATGTCAACACATTTAGATTGAGTTTTCAGCAAAGTGATTATTAAGCAAGAAAAATTTTACCTACTGCTTGCCTACCTTGTGGTCAAACTAAATATTTTAATTGTGTAAGAGAAGTTTGGGAGATTTAAAAACTAAAACTAAAAAACCAGACTTAGATATTTGGGCAGAAAACCCCACATAACTGTATATACTCATAGCAACAGATTGTTTTATTATTTGTTTGTGTAATTGGCGTCTGCTATTCAGAGTCTTGGAATAACAGTCATTTGGGAGGGACTATGGGGAGTACATTACTGGAACTGAGTTGGCAGTATTCACACTCTGGTCTGTTTGCTGGTTTGGAATCCTTTCTTTATTGCTTTTCTTCAGGTGGGACTCTTCCCTGGTCATTGTGTCGAGTTAATTAACCAGAAAGTTCCCCAGTCAGTGACCAACTCAGTGCCAAAACCAGGTGAGTGTATTTTTCTATTAGTGCAACTGCTCAGAGATATAGATGTTCTCTTCCAGTCAAGTGCATAGCTTCTTTTGGTCTTCTTCACATTCTTTAATACAGTATCCATTCTTAATTTAATGTGGTTTTACCTTTTAACTACTATCTTATTTCTCTGTTGGTCATTTCACAAAAGTTTATATGCTTTCAGATTTTTAGACAATTTTAAAGAGCTATGTGCTGTATTAAGCTTTGTCATTATTTGCTTTTACAATTATATAGTAGGAATATAGCTTATTAGTGAATACAGTCATTAAAATAGCCTTAAAGAACTTTATATAGGGATGATATGATTAATTAAACAGTAACAGTTGAAGGGAATGAATATTTTATCAGTGAATATGAAAATCAAAAGTAATATAGCTGAATATCAAAATTAAAAACATTTATTATATAGTTTATTTGTGGTGCTATATGTAGAATATTTGGCATAAGTAAAGCAGTGTTATACAGAATAAAATAATTTAAAAAGTTGGAGTTTTCATATTTATTTGGGGGTTTAATCTGGACAAGATTCTGCAGAATACCTAGGATGAAAATGTTTGATCTGCTGTAAATTTTTAAAAGAAAATAAAAATAAAGAAAAAATATTAGAGGGAAGAAGTAATCAAGTTTATTTTTCCTACTTATAATACATTTCTTCTGCCCTTTTTTTCCCTCCCAATAAAAGGAGAAGAAAATTTCTGGGCCTCAAAATTTATTTGAACTGTTTTCCTTCAAGTATCTTTAGGGTTTAGACCTGTATATAAGAACTTAGGGGAAAAGTTTATATTCCTTCCTTATTTAGTATTTTCCTACTTCTGCTCCCAAGGCATACATCAGTCAATCCTCTTGTAGAATATTTAGGTAAAGGTAAAGAGTAATAACCCCTAAGCTTATTTCTTCACGGAGGGTTAGAGAGTTCCAATTCTATCATAGGAATTTATTTATTTTGGGGAGACTCAATTTATTGTTTAGTAAAGAAAATACTTCAAAGCAGTGTCATCTATACTACTTGATCAAGATTCTCAATTATTTTGAAGCCAATTTTATCCTGCTTTGGGTGAACTTATTAAGAAGATTGTATGTATGGGTACTTGTTGGGTTCATTAGTTACTGTGATGATATAGGCTTCTGTCTTTTTTTAATAATATGGTGTTAGCCATTTTACAAAACAAGACTTGATGAGATATAATTCACATACCATGTGCATTTCACCTTTTTAAAGTACATAATTCAGTAGTTTTTGGTATATTCGTAGTTGTATGATTATTATCATGTTACTTTTAGAGCATCTTCATTACTCCCCCCAAAATTCCTATATCCCATTAGTAAACACTTGATACTTCTTCCCCTTACCCACCCCCTTATCCTTAAGCAACCACGAATTTACTTTCCGTCCTTATATCTTTTCCTGTTCTGAACATTTCATATAAATGGAATCATACAATATGTGGTCTTTTGTGACTGGCTTCTTTCACTTAGCATAATGTTTTCAAGGTTTATTCATGCTATAGTATGTATCAATACTTCATACCTTTTTTAAATGCTGAATAATACTCTATTTTTTGTGTCTACAATACTTTGTCTCCTTAGTGGGGTTGTCCCCGTTTGGGGCTACTAAAAACATCCATGGGCAAGTTTTTGCATGGATGTATGTTTTCATCTCTCCTGGGAACATTTCTAGGAGAACTGCTTGATCATGTACTAACTCCACTTTTAACCTTTTGAGCAGTTATCATTTGGAAAAATTTACAGCCCCACTAGCAATGTATGAGTATTCTAGCCCGTGGCTCACACCTGTAATCCTAGCTACTCAGGAGAATTTTAGTTGCTCCATATCCTTGCCAATACTTGCTATTCGCATTCTTTTGATTATTGCCAACTTTGCAAGTATGAAGTAATATCTCATTGTGGTTCTGATTTGCATTTTCCTGTTGGCTAATAATGTCCAGCATCTTTGTATGTTCTCAGTGGCCATTTGCATATCTTTGACTTTTTTATTACTGAATTGTAAGTGTCTCTTATATATTTTAGATACAAATCTTTATCAGGTGATAGTGGTTCACAAATATTTTTCTCTCAGTTTTTGGGTTGTCATTGACTTTATCAATTTTTACAAAGTCATCTGCTGAGGTACTTACAGGGATTATATTGGATCTGGAGGTCAGTTTTGGAATTCTAACCATCTTAATATTTTGTCTTCTAATCCCTAAACATGCGATCTTTTTCCATTTATATTATTCATCAATTTCTTTCAATGCTTTGTAGTTTTCAGGGTATAAGTTTTGTATATCTTTCATTAAAGTATTCTTTTTATGCTATTGTAAATGGAATTATGTTCTTAATTTCATTTTCTTATTGTTCATTGCAAATGCATAGAAATATAATTTATGTTGACCTGTTATCCTAAAACCTTGCTTACTGTACATATTAGTTCAAATAGTTTTTAATGGATTCTTTGTGATTTTTTTATATATGTCACCTGCAAATAGAAATCTTTTTACTTCTTTTGTTCCAGTCTGAATGCCTTTTATTTCCTTTTTTCCTTGCCCAGTTTCTCTGGTGAGACCCTCCAGTGCAATATTGAATAAAGCTCAAGCACCATTGCCTTGTGCCTGATTAGGGAAAGCATCCAGTAAGCACCATTGTAAGACGTTAGCTCTGAGCTTTCATAGATGCTCTTCATCAGACTGAGGAAGTGCTCTTCTATTTGTAGTTCAAGCGCTGTCACAAAAAGGGTGTTGGATTTTTTTCAAAGGCACCTTTTAAGATAATTTTTTTTATTGTTGTGCTGGGTAGGGGTACATTTTGCATTTACAAAAATTCTTACAGTATGTCAAATATATCATATTTGAATTTGCCCCCTCCACCATTCTCCTTTATCCACAATCATGGGTTTTTATAGTCACTATTTTGAAATTGCTACAATTCAACATCAAAAATTCATTCTAATTTCTTCTGCATTGTTTTAATCCATCTTCCTATGGTGTAAGCTCAACTTTTACAAGTTATTACATCTCATCTTTGATAACTTTATCAGAGATGTCCTATAAGCTGAGTTTTTGAAACTTAGTTTATATTGGCATTAAAATAACTGTATTTATCAAATACTCTCTCATGTTTTGAAAGGAAAGTGACACACTAGAAACTTAGCATTGAGAAAGTTATTCAGTTAATGATAGTTGTGGAAAATAGGTGTGTATTCACAGACCTGTAAGTTATTGTTAATTCTAAATTAGTAATTAGTACAAAAATAAGCACACCTTTAAAGGGTAGTGATTTATCTTTTGTTAGCAGCATTGCAAAGTAGACATAAGAGAATGTACATTCTGAAAAAGATTATGTAAATTCAATCAGCCCTGGGCTTGTTTCACACTTTAAAACTGTCTTTGCCTACAGTATAAACAACTTGAATGTTCTATTTATTTTTAACATTGCCATCTGTCACTGTTAGATGCCAAATCGGAAAAATGCAGCTATAGTTTGAAATGAAAACTTAAAGCTTCTTATACTATTACACAACAATGGCAGCAGGAAAATTTTTCATTTAAAATCTGTTCTTTATGTTCTCAATATGTCCAATTATTTGTATATATAAAAATAAAATTGAGTCACCATGTGATGACCAAGATAATAAATAACCATGGTGCCTTAAAAAAAGGTAGAAGTGGGAGGGAGAGAAGGAAAGAAAAGCAGAAGTAAGATGGAAGCTTGTGAATAAGACATTGGTATTTTGTTCAGCTACATGGCTTAGCAAAAGAAACGGGTTGGGTTGAGGGGAAGAGAAAGGAAGTACATCTTTTGTTTTGTGTGTTTATGTATTGCTTAGAGTTTATTGAGGATCTATTTATTGATGTATTTTGTTAGGTTTTTGATGTCCTAAGCTATTATCTCCAAATTATTCTTTGCTAATTGTTGATTTCTTTTCCTTTATAAACCAGTTACATTCTTTGATATTGTTTCATGGATCTTGGACTCTTGTTTTTATCTATCTGTCTATCATATATCTACCATATTCTCAGTTTGGATACTTTCACTTGACCTATGGTCAGGTTCAGTGATTCTTCCCTCTGCTTTATGTAATCTCTTAAGCTCATATAATACTTCAATTTTCATATCATAGTTTTCATTGCTAGGACTGATTTTACAAAATAATTTCCATGCTGGCATTCTGCTTATTTCCATATTTACCTTGTTTATAAGAAAGAAAAAGAAAAAAGGGGATACAGAAGAGTGGAAGACACGAAGAGGGAAAAAAAAGAAAAGCACACTTTTGAGGCATGAACATCTTCTTGAAATTAAAGACTAAGGGTTTAGATAAACCTTTGCAACAGCAGTTAAAAAGTTAGGGAGAAATATAAATATATATCTTTGAAGCATTGGAGGGTTAATAGGCAGTAAACAATTACTAAACTAAGGTGAAGCAGGAAAAGAAATGGGGCGGGGGAGTGGCCCCAATATGTGGGGATGTTATTCTCTGACAGTAGGTAGATGTTGATAGTGCAGAGAAAGTGATAGTGCTGGGGGGAACAGAAACTGGAGGTCTGCGCCCAATGAGTGAAGTTGCTAAGAAACACTCTAAATGTTGATTTGGGATGTTTATGGAAACTGACAAGTGACTCTTAACTGATTTTAAAGGGCCAATGAAGTGTCTCCTAGCAAGTGTGAGGCCCTGAGTTCAAACCCCAGTGCCACCCAAAATATATGAACTGATTATAAAGTTGATATGGAAATGCAGAGCCAAGAGTCACTGAGACAGTTCTAAAGAACAAAGAGTGTGAAACTTAACCATAATAGATACCAAGGTTTAGTGTGAAAATGTTACTAGTTAGTACCCTGATATAAATGGAAGGATAGACAAATAGATCAATAGAACAGAATAGATTCTAGAAACAATCCTGTTGCAAAGGTGACATCAGGCAATGTCAAAAGGACAATCATTTTAATAAAGGGTGCTGGGTCAGTGAACATCTCAGCAT